CTTAAGGTATGAACCACTCTAGTTAACAGGTTCAGGATAGGGATAGTGTATTATTTTTGTCTCGTAAGTGTGTAGTATAAGAGATCCCCTTTTTTTTTTGTACTGTTATTTAAACCACAATATTTTTTTTTTTCCTTTTTTGTTTTCTATTTTATTTTATGACATTAACTTTTTCTTGTTTATTTTACTGTTAATTTATGAATGTATTGTTATTTATAACTATTCCTTTATTTACTCCTGTTTTTTAAATTATAACCATGCATTGAATACACCGAGCTCTTTGCACAAGCACAGCATATACGCGTCCGCGCACACTGCACTTTATGGGGTGTTACGCATCATTTATAAACAAGCTACTTTGAATAGCAATTATTATTTCTTAAAAAATAGCACTATGAGAACTTGTAGTAAGCGGACAAATAACTAGACACTATTTATCACGCTCTGCTACCAAATTTTGTTGAAAAATAAATCGTAATTATTAAACTTTATCATCCAGTGAAAGATAGATGATTGTGGACTAAAGTCTCATGCTCTTTGCCGGGTCGTGGGACCTACAGTATGTTTAACTTTTCGGTTGTTTATTGTCCTTATTGTAATGTGATTTTTGATATATATATGCGTGTGTGTGTTTGTGTGTGTGTGTGTGCATTAGAATGATGAAAGATCGAATACCTAGTTTTATTATCCTTGGTTGTATTATGTAAGTTGAGATATCACTTTTTTTCTGTGTTGTACTCCGTTGGTGTCAATGCGTCGTCCGGTGGCTTTTTCACTTTCCTTAGTGTAACGTGATTTTTGATTTATTTATATACATATGTGTGTATTAAAATAATAAAAGATTAAATACCTAGTTTTATTATCCTTGGTTGTAAAATGTAAGTTGAGATATCACTTTTTTTCTGTGTTGTACTCCGTTGGTGTCAATGCGTCGTCCGGTGGCTTTTTCTCTATTTATAGCACCTTCAGATAAACTAGTTTAATAATTTTAATTACTTTTACTTGATTCGACTTATTTTTAATTGATTTATTTTCTATTTTATTTAGAAACAAATTTATCGTACAAAGTGATCAAAAATAGAAAAGAACAGAAAGTCACTCTTTGACAGAACTGTTTAGCAAGTTACTTGTATAATTGAGTGCTGCTCTCGATGAGCGGTAGCGGGCTACTTACTAAAACGCCGAGCGAAGAAATGCACCTTGCGTGAAGCTTTAGTTAGTACTTTTTTGTCTTACATTTTATTTAGCCGGTACTTGCTGACGTTATGTGTTCAGGCTTATCGGCTCGCTTCGGTTGCCTCTTGACACTTTCGAGAGCCACGAAGAACACAATCAGCTTTGTTAGGTAATGACTTTCGTTAAGTTTGACTCTTTTCACAGCCTTAAAATTTTATCATTGAGGGAACAAAAATAATATAAAATAGAATAAAAAAATAAAAAATTTATTTATTTACAAGTCGTCACTTAACAGCCTCCCCATCTTAAAACTATCACTGTCCTTGGTGAGTATATATATTAAAACAATCTAATTTAAGGTAAGAAGTGGACCATGGTAAAATTAATACCTGAAGAAAACAAAATTAAAGAAAAAAAATTTTTCTATATTCACTTTTTTCTTCTTAAAATCATTCTAACCTTATAAATTAAAACTTATTGGCATTAATCTTTGATATACATATTAGCATTATAGAAAAAATATATTACAGTAAATATGTATTTTTCTATGTATATATATCTAGAAACATAATTCGTATTGGGTCGATGGTTTCGGCATTGGATAGTGAAGTGATGGTAATAGGTTTGATGAAGTTTATGTTAGTTAATAGTTAAAGTGTCTTCATACTTCCGTACAAAGAAAGGTTTGATTTTTTTTTTTTTTTTTTTTACGTGCTCTTTATTGAATTACTTCTCAACTTTAGTCCGCGTAGTGATAGTCATGTTTGACGAGGCTGACCTTCTTATTACAAATATTACATTTTATTTTCATTTTAATTTGGATGTTACATAATATAATATGCAATTGTAAATCATATTTGTATACATAGTTTTCGCACGGTGTATGTATTGTGCCTTGTTCTTGGTTGCGTGTCCGTTTACTGTTGGCATGCCGTACTCCATGATTTTGAAGTTCGTTATACGCCCTGATGTTTGCTCCTTGAGTGAAATACGTGGCAAATACCATGTTTAAATCCTTTCCATTATCTCTCGCGGCTTGGAGTTTCATATAACTAATATCATTGAGTGGGCCAAAAGTCATCAGATATTTGGTCCACTCGTCGGTCGTAATTACGACCGGTACTTTCATCATTAGCCTTGATGGTAATTTTTTAGTCGTGCTGCTGAAAGTGGCTACAAGTAGTGGAATATTTGTTGTAGTTGTGGTTGTTGTTGTATTGACAATGGCGTTAGGCTCCTTTCGTTGGGTTGTGATGCAATGTACAACTATCTTTCGCATTGCTGAGCTTATATACCGTACGGATTTTTGAAGAACTCTGTCAGGTATTTAGTATCATAAGCTTTCTTTATTAGGACATGAATATCCCTAGTTGTACGTTTTACTTGTGCAAAGTGAAGAAAAGGTATTTCTTTATCCTCGTCACATGCCATGATCGCGGTTTTTTATCTAATCTAGACTGTTATGGTTCAGATACAGGCGGCTGTCACCTAATGGACGTTTGTTCTTTTTGTACTGATGATTAATCATCCCCTTTTATTCCGATTATTGTCGCTATATTTAATGTTGCACCAACAAATTTCTGCGTTCGACTTTTATCGATTAGATCTTTAATCATTTTTTCCAACCAACGTCCATTCTCTTATATGTTATGAATTCTGATTGATTTCTTATTTATCAGGGACGCAGCTGCTATTGATGTTGCCTAATTCTTCACGTTATCCGATGAATGAGGTATCGAATCCAGTAGTTCCTGTAGCGTTGGCGCTGCATTTAAACTGTTAGCCACTATTTCTGCCTCCAGTGGTGAACCAAACACTACCTCATAACTCGAATAACCCATAGCACAGCGTTTTCGTTCTATTGACTGCACTATTTCGAAGTTCTTCAGAATCTCTTTTCGCATGAGCCAGCTATAAACTCCCTGCAAAATTATGCTAAGTTGGGGTCCATCGGCCATTGCTTCGGCGATTTTAGGGTTTTGTTTATCCATTGTGTATGTTATTCTGTAAGCGTAAATATGATGGGTGTTATGATAACTGTTGATCGATACTATATATGTATAAGTACTGTTGTAGTGTATTTCGTGCTGTTATTAATTTCAAAGATTCATAGGTTATATGTGGAATATAAATATGGAAATAAAACTAGGCTTATGAAACCATTAGATGATGGTTAGGTTATTTTTTATGAAATGAATCACCATTGTAAATGGCGGTTATAATTCGATGTGTATAAATGTGTAAATCCGGGAGGATGTGCATTTTCTTGATTTTTACTTTAGTCTCTTATTGTTCAATAACTTCATGTAAAGGATGATTTACGTTGACTCTAGTCTTTACTGTTATTTCATAGTCGAGGGTCATCATGCAGCTCGGAAGGAAAATAGTATTAAATTACTATTAATTTATGAGTTAATTTTCAGCTTTTGGGGTGTATGGCGTAGGAGTATCAAACTCCGTGTCTTAATTATACGTCTAGTTTTAGATGATTTAGGTATTTTTTGTTTTCTTTAAATTCGACATAAGCTTCGATTGGTTCTTGTTTTATGGTTACTCGGGGTTCTGTGTTCAGTGGATTGATGGTGCCTTTTATTCATTTTTTCAAGACACTACGATTTATAGTCTTCTCAAAACAGCTTCTTGCTTTGCTGATTTGAGTATTGCTATTATATTTATAATAATAATATCTTCAATAACATTGCGTATTAAAATAAAAAGAGAAAATTATTTTTCCTCCGACTTTTGAGTTCGTATTTTCTCCATTTGATTTATTATAGTTTGTACATTTAATTCGTTATCTTTCCATTCTTGTTCTTTAAAGTTTAGTTCTCGAATCGATTTTACAGCGTCATGAAAAGCATTAGTGTCCTTTAATAGTTCATGTAATACAGTTAAGTTTAAGTTCACTTCTACTTAATAGGTATATTGTATCTGAGTGAGGATCTTATGTTTACTAGTTAAGGTTAATTTGTGTGTTTTTCCTGTACACCTATCATTCATTCCTAAAAGACCTATACCTTCTATTCTTTCTTGTCGATCCATTTTGTTAGGGCAGATATTGCCTAATTGTTCTTCATAAGATGTCGAGAATAACCATGAATTATCAGCTGGTAAGTAATTGATTTTTTATTTTAGGTGTGAATATGATTTCACTGTATTTGAATATTTTGTGTTCCAGGTCGTAATAGCATAAGAATTTCACATTTGTTTATAGGATAGGGTTCTTTTAACGGTTCCATAAGAGAGCATACATAACAATACACCGTTTTATTACATTGGTTCAATGTAACTTCATTTAGTCGTAAATACGAATTATAGTCTGCTGCTACTGCTGAGTAAGGGTACTATGGTTTTATACAGGCAGATCTATTTTGTCCAGATTGGGGTATCATGACTGAATGTAGTCTGTAAAGATTGTAAGGGGTTCCATCTACGAGTGGCAAATGTAATTCTACCATGGTTCTATTTCTTGATGCACAACATCTAATTTGCTTAGGTTGCTTTTTCGCCAGCATAAAGATTCTCTATTGGTGCTACAAATTCTAGATTCCCTGCTAGATTCTTTATATGCTGGGCTACGATTCGAGATGTATTTGGAGAAAATAGCTTTGGATATCCTTGACTTCTTTGTAAATTACACAAGATGTCAATCATACCCTTATGGGATCGAATAATTTGATCTAAGGTAGCCTCGGTATTTCGAAGGTAAGCTGATGAATGTATCAGATATCTATCAAGAGTAAAATCTTGTTCTGTAGTCAATATATCAACATCTTGTTTTAGAATATGTTTATGGCGTTTTTTAGTGTTATACAGTTTTTTAATTGCAGCCGCAAAACTATGGCTATTTCGTACATCCAATTTAATATATGCAAACAGTTGATGTTAGTATTCATAACGTTGATATCGTCTTCTGTGACCAAGCCGAAAAAAAACAATGCTTCCAATAATTCCAAAAAGTATCAGTCTTATTGTTTGTATGCTGGCTGGTGAAATAATGTTATCTCCTGCATGGCGTCCCACAGTATTTATTACGCTCAATAGTGTTGCTTTGAGATATGTCAACCGCTCTACCTTTAAATTTGAGAGGTCCATTCCCATATAGCAAGTGCAATAAGCATAACCAAATTGTATAGTACAATATCTACAAGTTTCATTTAATTTTTGAGTAGGTGTTTGTTTCAATTCATTGATATCCGGCCATATCACAATCTTCCATTCAGCTCTTTTAATTTTTGTAATACTAATTCGTTCGTAATATATTCCAGGGTTTGTTTTAAGTGGTTCTATGTTATAGTTACCATGATTAGCATACTTTAAATCTGCGTAACCTTCAAGCACTATTGTCCTTCATATGGTCACCATAATTCGCATCGTTTTGTTGTTTTTTCTTTCTGGAAGACTTGTAAAATATATTTCTTACAAGGATATTATTTTTGAGAAACTAGTTTTGTTTTATCTGTGTGTTTCCGTATGATTTCACAATTGTTTTTTTAAGTAACACATCATTTCCCTCTACAACTGTTTGAAACTTTAGGGGTTCATTATAAAAGCGATCAAATTTAATAGTAACGCACTTCTTTTTTTACCCAATCGTAATCCCCCGGTTTAACATTTAGAGGCTTTGATTTTTTCATCATATTTTGTTTTTGCTTGTACTTTTATCTTTATTTGCTGATTTCCTGCCGCAATTTGTATTTCTTAAAGTCGCTTAATAAGATCTTGGAAATATAATGGATAGGTTTATAACCTTTCATCTGTAGGTATCTTCAAGGGCAACCTTGCTACTTTCTCAAATACCAGTTCATAGTGCATAAAATTTTTGGCTGTATGTACTCTCATGTTATACATAAAAGCTGCAAATTCGGCTAAACAATCGCAGTCATCATAAGTTTCAAAGTAAGTTCTTATAAAGTCAGCTAGGGCAGCATGACTACGCTCGAGTAATCTGTTTATTTGGGGATGATATGCTGATGTAGTTAGATAATTGGTTCATAGGATTTTCATGAGTTGTCACAATAAATTAGACATAAATGTAGCATGTCTGTCTGATAGAGTTGCTTTAGGTGCACTGTAAACTAATATTAGATTTTGTACGAGGGCATTGGCAAGCGTGCTTGATTTTAGGTTTGGTACTGAGACTAATATGATGTTCTTAGTCAAATTATACTGGATGAATAGCAAATGCCAATTACCATTTGGTGTTGTTCTTAGTTTACCGATGGTAATAATGGAAACTTTATTAAAAGCTTCAATAGGTATATCTGTAAGCACCAAGGGTTCTTTTGTTTTTATTCATTAAATTTTTTTCTCTTGACATTTGCTGCATTTACGAACATAATTGAGAATATAATTTCTTATTTCAAGCCAATAAAATCGTTCTCTTTCTTTTCGATAAGTTTGGTTATTTCTTTTATGTCCTCTAACAAGGCTGTCATGTAGTGCTTGTATTATTTCATTACGTTCTTAAATCCTCGGAAAATTAACTTTACCGTAACAGATAGCAATTCATATAAGTGTCTGATCAAATGTTGTAAATAACATCTTCCTTTCTTGATATTCGGAAAGTTTTAAGGTTTCGTGGCAGCAATATTTTTCCAAGTGATTTAATAGCTTTTATAAGACTTTCTGAAGTTTCTAAATCGGTAGATGTTTCATTAATACCGATTGATAGTATATTATGTCTTCTATAAGCTGTTATTAGTATTTTGTCAACTTTTGGTTTCTTTGATTCCAAAAAACTAAAGTCTGGTGCATCTATGGATCTCAACAGTCTTGAGACAGATGTGATTGGTTGACAATCTTTGCTAATAAAATGAACTGTATTGTCTTTTTTGTACGTAAGACAATGTTTGGTGGTAATTACATTATTTATTGGCTTAGCTTTACATTCTTATAATTGTCAGTACTACTGTTTCCATCACTAAGACTCACATACATCTTTCTGTACTGTTGTTTGTTTCGATTAATTGGTTGAAAAGGGTATAAGTCCGATAGTAGCATAAAATCAGGTGCAATACTTCGATTTATTGATTTGTTTGCACTGCTATTTGTTTATTATTTTTGTTTAAGTTATCCGGGGTTTTTTCTTCTATTTGTTCCAAGTCCGGTGCTTCAGACCGTCTGTTTTTTGCAATAATAGTAGTACTCGTGTGTATTGGTGTTTAAGAATTAAAAGGTGTATTTTCTTGAATCTCAGAGGTGATTAAAAATTTTTCACTCGTCATTTATTTTCTTAAAATTTAATCTTTATCAAAAAGTGGTTCAAACTTTATTGTTCGTCTTAATAAATCTGCAATCATCATCTAATACAGAGTCATCAAAATTATCGGAATCATAGGTGACCATTTCGATAAATATATCCTCAATTTCGAGATCCGGCTTATCTTCATCATAAAATCTTGTTACTGATAAAAAATCCATATCAGCTTTCTTGGCTTCATCATCGTTGTTAGACTTGTCTAAATATTGTTGATGACTTTGGTTCAATTTTTCTGTTAACTTTTGTATTTCTTGATAAGTAACCTTATCAATATTACTTGTTGTAGTTTTAGGTTAGTCTTTAAAAATGTCGTCATTCGAACGAGTCTGAGTCAGTATCTATATTTAAGTCTACTTCCGTGTCAGTAAATTCTTGTCGTAATCTACTTTGTCTAGGGTCATATACTGGTGGTTTTGTATCTTCTTCTGACGATTCTTCAGTATCA